TCAAACATGTATTACATAGTTTTGAAGACAGACCGCCCTCTCCAGGTTGGAAATTCATCAAGGTATTTGAGGACTAACGAGTGTTTCCGAGGATGGGGGACTCTGTCCGCATCCTTTTTCCCTCTCCCCACGGCAGCCCGTCTTAAATCTCACCAAGCACCCCTTGCAAACCAAAGAAAACAAAACGAAACATCAAGAAATGAAAAAAGATGCAACATCTCTGGATTTACCACATGGAATGTCGGACACTAACACGGCACGGCTCTGCGCTTGGATAGCTGGTTCCCAAGTGAAGTGAAATACCTTCCTGCCATTCATAGGATGAGATCATCGCTGCTACTGGAAACCCCTTTACACGAGCCAGTTTACTTGTAAGCACGTATCATTCTCTGCACTTCATGAGTGCACGAAATAGTCTGGTGCTGCCCTCAAACTCAACTAGCAATACGAAAAACAGAGGCAGAAAAAACACAGATGAGCGAGACGACAAATGACCTTAAACCACATTTTCTTAAAATCGTGTTGAATGGTTACTACCAAGTCCTATGGTTTTGCGTAAGTCACTGTGGGAAGGGAGTACAATGTGGGCTGCGGACATTTTTACCTGAGGCATCTAGATACAAGAGGGAGGAGCTTCGAGCACGTGCTTAGCGTGCACCAGGTCCTGGGTTCAATCCCCAGTGCCTCCATTAAAAAAATTAATATTCAATTACCCCCCTTAAAAAAAGTTGGATACAACAAGAGGGAGAAAGAGGGTGATGTTTTGTTTCTTTTTTTTTTCACTTGTATTATCCAATTTTTTTTTAACGTTTTACTTTGACATTTCTATGACTTCAAATTCAAATTTTCCTCAGATTCCAAGCAGCAAGGATTCTTAAGTGCGCTACAACACAAGAAAGATTGATGAAAAAGAAACACGTCAGGTCAGCAGGCAGAGGCCTGAATTATTCCGAGAATCACCTCATTTCAGCTTATCAAAACTGCAGCCTTGACCTCTATGTGTTTTGAAACAAGATGGAATGTGATTATTATACAAAAGCTTCTGCCCTATCAAAGACTGGTTCAAAACAAACCATCAAGAAACCGTATAAATAAAACCAAGGGTTTGTGACGCTGGCTTGCACAACAGCAGTCAGTACACAGAGCACACTTCTCAAACTTCGGGGTTGCAGCAGAACCATTTGGAGAGCTTGTTAGAAACCACAGATCCCCATGCCCGCAGCCCAGAGGTTCTAATTCTCAATCATACTTGGAGCGGTACCGGCCTAGAATATTGACAATCACAGGGATGTTCATACAGGTGGTTCTCACCGTAGCCCACGTCCTGGGATTAATACTGATGTTCAGCCAGCTGCGCTCTGGATGGGCCAGAGCCCACACCTGCTCCCCCAGTTTGCCAATGATCCTGGATTTCAGTTGGAAAGTTAAAATACTGATGAAGTCTCCTAGACGTCAAGATTTTTCAAATATTGGCCTTAGGTTGGATATGCTGACTCCATCTCCATGATCTTTGGAAACTTGGTCCCAATTACTGGTGAAATTGTTTATTTCCAAATTGGGGCAAAAGCAGCTCCACCCGCTGTCTCCCCTGAGCGTGGACAGCTTTGTTTTGCAGAGGCCATGGCGAAAACAGACCAGACATTTCCATCAGCTGTTTGGGCATTGTGCTTTTCAGGGGAATTACAGCTTGTTACAGTATTTTCCTTTGCAGCTTAAACATTGAGCAAACCCAGACATCCGGAGATGCTAAAATGAAAAATCTGTTTCCTCTGGCTTTGCCATTTGCCAAGCGAACTTCTTCAGACAGCATTTCTATACATTTCAAGTCAGTGCAATTATCCTTAATGTGCTGGCCACATCTGTCACAAAACAGTCCCCGGTCTATGGCTTAAATGCACGGGAGGGGAACGGGCCTGACGGTGTATTTAATGAGGCAAGATGATGGCTGAGGGCACTACTGGTGCTGCCTTAACAGCCACCGGGTTTTCTTTCCCTTTTTTTTTTTTTGGTTCTCTCTTCTTTCTTCTCTTCCCTTCCTTTTTCGTACCTTACACGATACAAGAGAGACTCTGTAATCTTTGAGAGACTGTAATCTTTGATGAACAAACGGCGGTCTTTACTGTAGACAGCCAGTACTTCAAACTCTGTTGTTGGCCTGGCAACGGTACCATCAGGACAATGTGTTTCTCCGAGGGGTTTCTGTCTCCCGTTGCCAGTGTGCTGATGATGGTCAGTGTCGCCCATCCCTTGAGACTGTTAAGAAATGTATGATGTTCAAAAGTCGTGGGAGTCCTCCGTTTCTGGAACATTTTTACTAAACATGGACAAGAATGCATGTCCTTACATGTCCTCCGCCAACAATCCTCATTTTGTTGTGGATCTTGCTTGCCGATAACCGGCCTGGTTAGGAAAGGAACGGCTCCCTTCCGTTGTCGTCCGCTCCGTGCCTCGTGCTGCCGTTTACAACTCCAAATCGTGACCCCTCCCTCCCCACTCTTCCCTCTGACCGTCAGGTTTCTGGTTTATACACAGAAGCCACACTGTGCTGTGGCATCTGTCATCCGATGAGCCCCACGATAGCTTCCGTGGAAGGATTCTCTAAAGGACCAGGGGGTCCTTCCGAAATTAACGCCAAATACAGGCATTCAATCCTCCTACGCTCATCACGCGTGGATTCTGAGTCACCTGTCACGTGCTTACAGTATCCCCCAGACTTCAGTCTATGTCTCGCACCACCGGGGAGTGAGAGCACCCCTAGGGCGTTGGTAAGAAAGTCTCCTTGGAGAGGAGGGCATGTGTGGCTCGGTGGTGGAGTGTGTGCCTAGCACGCACGAGGTCCTGGGTTCAAGCCTCAGGACTTCCACCCTAGAAATAAATACAAATCTAATTACCTCCCCACCTGCAAAACAACAACAACAACCAAGGAAATATCCTCTCCAACCGCAATTTGGTCTCTATCTCTGATTCATGATGAACAGTGTGACTAGAGCAGGCTGATTAGCATTGTGCGGTGTCCGGGGTTGCGACAGGTGAGCTGTATGGCAGGACCGCCCGGGGCAACTAGTCTAAGAAAACAGCCTTAAGTCTCAAGTTCAGGATGAGGACTGAAGTCTTGCACCTGCAAGGGATTAGAATGTTGTCAAAGTGCCACTTTTTGATTGGAAAAACAAAAAGCTTCAGGATCTGTGTCTCAACTGAGCTTATTCTATAGCGATTTAAGTAGATAGCACGTGCTTGCTGCTAGTTTGGTACAACTAGTATCTGAAATAAAGGCTAGTGAAGTTTTTGGTTTGGTTTTTTTTAAGGAAAAAATAAAGATGCTTTTGTTAAATGCAGGCAGTGGCAGGAAAAACTGTCTCCGAATTATAATTAAGTATTATTTTATCGTGTCTCTCATGCAAGAAGCAAGCTACTGAATAACAATTTATGGAAGCGTCGTGGAATTCAAACAATGCAAACACCCAACTCTGTGCATGTGCAAACTACAGATTCTAAAGTAACGTGTATGTGTTCTGATGGGCACTAGCTCCAAAGTCCAAATGTCTTTGAGAACAAAGCTGGCTTCGTAGACTCAGCATTTACAAATACCTGGCTAGGTTTCTGTCTGCCCTTCATCCCACAAGGAAGGCTGAGTGACAGGGGCATTTGCATAAAACCACCAGGAGCTGACTTCCCTGAGCAAAGGCATTTGAGGACACATCTGCTTGCGGGTAATTAGTTTAGGTGCTGAGACGTGGCCATCTATATGACTCTGTCCTATTTTTATTTCTTCAAAATGTTTACTGATATGGAAAAAAAAAACAGTCCCCGAGTGAGAAAAATAATGTTTACGGAAAAAAATAGCATTCAGAGTCGAAATCATTTTTCTACCACAGGATATATTTTAATGAGCTGTTATAGAAGGCGCTTCTGACTTTACTAGCATCTTCCAAATAAAGGGCTGGAATTATGTAATGTCACAGATTCCATCCAACCCTACTTTTCAATTTTTTAAAATTTTTTTAAAGATCATTCCTTTCTCCAAGTGAGTTGATTAAGGCAGAATAGTTGGATAGAGAAAAAGAAAGAGAAGGTAGCCCGGTCTGTGCTTCACAGACCACGTGACACTTTGTATATGGACAGACATTTTAGAAGATGTCTATTATTTCTTGCATTCCCAATGGTTATGGTCAATCAGAAAGCATATTCTCGAAGTAGACCTTTCCTATCACCTGATGAGGCACTTGATATGTTTGCATTTGTAAACAATTTTAGCAGTGTTGCATTTGACCAGCTTTTAACAGACTTCAGTATCCTTCTGTCTTGTGGTAAAAGCACAGATATAAAGGAAGTAGGTCAAATATTAGGAGGAAAATATATGGGAAATAGTAGCTTTGAGTTTTATCATATTTACATTTGATTTTAATATGTCCTTCAAAGATACTCAGTCAAGAAACCCATTTGGACCAACATCACCTCTCTGGAAGATTGTATTGAGGTGATCAAGATAATTATCTGTATAAATCATGGATAAATGACATAAACCCAAAGTCTTATCCAGTATTAAGAGAAATTAGAGAATTTCCATAGTATTTATATTTTTTGGTCAGAGAAGTTTGTATTTAGAACCATGAGAAGGAATATAGATGATGTCTTGCAATACATTCTGCACCGAGTACTGGAATTATAAATGACAGGCATTTCGACACGTCACAGATAAATCCCATCAGAGGAAAGGAAGCCACTGATGCTGTGTATTTAGACGGCACACAATGACACGGATGGATGCAAAAATCATACTTGGCTCAATTTAGCCTTTTCAGTGAAAAGTAAGCACGTATTTAGATGAGCACAAAATGACATGGATGGATGCAAAAACCATACTTGGCTCAGTTTAGCCAAGTATGATTCAGTGAAAAGCAAGCACATGTGGTGTGAAAAAGTAAATACACCCAGCAAAGTGTGTTCCGCCTCCTTCGTTATGGGATGTGTTTTCAGATGGGCGTTGTGTGTGCTTGTAGGGTGCTGTGATCACGCCAGCGATGGACCACCCGATGTCAATGCAGCCGGCAAACATGATGGGCCCCCTGACACAACAGATGAACCACCTTTCGTTGGGCACAGCAGGAACGGTGAGTCAGAGAGGTTGTTTCCTCTGGTGTCCTTGGGTTTCTCCAGTCCGATGCGATACTCTCCGTTCTGGCGGATGATCGGCAGACCTGCTTCTGTTCCCCTGACTAACACGCCTTTCAGGTTCCAGTGTGAATACGCTGCCCTCTGCACGCGTGCTCAGCCCCGGGGCACGTCTAGCCGCCTTGACAAGGCTGAAGGTTCTACTGTGTTGCATTTAAATCTGAGTCACTTCTGGTTCTTAGAACACGATGCGCCGAGTATATCTGTTTTGGACCTTGTAACTCAACACACTTGAGCAGAGTTTTCCTTCCAGATGTTTAGCACTTTCGCTAACAGCATCCTCAGGTCATTCATGAGAGGGGCTAACGTTGGTTATGACTAATATACAGGGCTTTTTATTTACTTTCAACATTTAAATCCATAAAATCCACAATTGAGAACCTCACATAATCAACTTATTGAAATCTTCCTTTTGAATGTGTCAACATAGATGATTTTGGGGGGGAATAAAAAAGGAAAGGAATCTAATGTACCTAAAATTTTTTCATAGTTCAGGATGTTTTTGATTAGCCATTATTTTTCCTTAGAGAACAAACATATATCAAAAAATGCCCATCGCAGCCTTGTTTGTCTATCAACCGGCATTTGAACTCATTGGCAAAGCTTTGTTTTTTTTTAAAAAACAAAAATCTATTCAAAGACAATTCCCCAAATGGTCAAGAGGACAGATGTCTAATATTACCTGGAATATTGTAACTGTCACTATAGAGAACAGTGAAAAAGCGTCAAAGCCATTCTCCTGTGTGACAGCCCTGGTCACAGTTTTTACTTCTCATAAATGTTAATGCAGATGATTTTGTCCTTCTTAAAGGTGTACAGAGGGAAAAAATGTTCCTTCTCCTGAGTGAGGCGGCTTTCCTATAGAAAGAGCCCCCGGACTAGGAGTCGGGGAGCCTGGATTCAAATCTTGATTGAGCTCTATTGTTTCTGTCTGTCCTTCGGAAGCTAACAGCCCCTGGGCTCAATGTCCCCCTCAAGCCAGGTGAAGCACTGAGCATTACGTGTACGGGGAAACTTTCAAACAGATGCCACTCTGACTTTATGCCTACGTGTCTCATGGTTACCACTCCTGTGATTCACCATCTCCAAACATCTACATACGCTGTGTACACTAGCTATGTATTTGGAAATTCTACCTCAAAGCAAAGGCTTGCTCGCTACACACATGTGTTGACTCACACACTTTTTAGAATTCAAGAAATTTCTTAGATGTCTACTGAGGCCTCAATCATCTGCTCTGAGAGGGGAAAAAAAAAGTCTGTCCACCTAATGGAAAGACTCGCCTTGTTTCAATAGAGAAATTTAGTTTTATTAACATAAACAAAGGACCTAGCTCAAAGGCTGAACCCATGGAAAGTGGTTGGTGACATCTTCTGTGTCGGAAGGCTTCAGCCAAGACAAATGATTCTTTAGGTCTCTGACCTAGGCTTTGCAAAGTCATGTCCAGGACGACCTTTCACACTGCATTGTGGAACAGCTAATTTTCATTTGGGAGGTAGCATGTGAAGATAGGATTTCCACAGCATTTAGCAACGTGCGAACATTGCCGGTAGCACCTTTGCTCTTTCCTGACCAAAGCAGACCCCAGGACAGCATGGGAAGGCCCGAAACACCTCATGTCTACGGGTTTCCCCTTCATATCAGCCTTCCTCTCCTTAAAGGAGTCCACGTTCTGCATAACCGAATTCATGCACTTTGACTACACTGGATGACAACCTGGAATCTGATGGGGGCGGGGGGAGTTATAATGCAAAGCACAGAAAGAAAGCAGCTTATAAATTCTACCTATTGGAATCGAAAGCAAAGCCAGCTGACTTGCTGAAGTTCAAATCTGGAAACCAGAAAAAAAAAAAATATATATATATATATATATATATAAATGGGCCAAGTTCATTGAAAATATGATTGAATCTCTTTAAAAAATTGGAAAATAAGCTCAATTATATAGAACAGATTCAGAATTACAATAGTTACTGATGCAGAAATGTGTTCGAGCATTTCAACAGGAATACATTTCTACAAGACTCTAGTTTTTGCCCAGCTGGTAAGAGCCAAATTATTCAATAATGATATATACCCTTTCCTTTCTTAGAAAGCAAACGTTTTAAGCACGTGGGTTATTTTTATCATTAAATTTCTTCTAGCTTTTTTGAAAAATTCTTTTCCTCCTTCACATTTGTACTAAGTAATTCTTATGTATATTATAAGCTTTGTGTAAATTGATGTTTTGCAAAGGTTTAAACTTTTTGCAAAGGTTTAAAATTTCCCAAGGTTCTGAAAAGCCAGAGAGAAAACAGTATTAATTTGTAAAGCTTATTCAACACAACAGCACTGAGTATGTTGGGTGTCCAGTGTGCGGTTAGACTTTTTTCGTAAACGGTCCCTCTTACACTTTGACAGACTCTCATAGATTCATTTTATTTGAATTTTTGATTGGCATCTGGAGTGGCTACTGTGCAATCAAGGGTGACTCTTTTAATCAGATTTCACCACCTTATTGCATCTTTTCAACACACTTTATCCACTGCTAGGAAGGCAGCCTGGAGTCATTGCAAGAACAGTGGACGATGGAATTAAACTGGAGTTCTAAGCCTGGCCCTTATTAGCTATGCAAGATGAGGCAGGGCGCTTAACCTCTCTGAAATTTTATTTTCTCTTTTACAAAGTGGGGGAAAAAAAACAGCATTTCTATCCCAGGGGTATTGTGAGTGCTAATGGGGGGGAACATGCAAACACACGTAATAGAGTGTATGATGCCCAGCAGGGGTTTATCGAACAAGCCACTCTCTCCTTCCTCATTCTCCGGTGGCTTCTAACTGGCGGGAACTGAGTCCAGGTCACCCGAAGCCCACAGTACAGCGCCCTGGCCTGCTCTGTCTCATTTGACGTCTCTTCTTTCTTCCCAGTTTCCACTTCCTTAGCTCCTAAAGTAACGTTTTTCAGGGTTGTAAACCCAACCAATTCCTAGCGGCCAGCCAAGTCCCATCGACAGATAGGGCTGACTAAGTTCGAGCAAACAGCCCCGGAAACATAGAATCAAATTTGGTCTGTATCTCCCTGGGTCTTACAGAGCCATGTGTGTAACTACGCGTGATAGCAGAGATTACATTTTAAATTGGAGCCGTTCTGACGCGGTTACCGCAGCGGCCCGGCCTGCGTGGTGGGTGAGCGGCGGGGCGGCGCTGTCCTTGGTAGCTGCGAGCGGGGTGCCTCTCCCAGAGCGCAGCGCGGGGACACGGGCCTGGGGGCCCCGCCTTCCAGTTTTTTAAGATAGGCTAAATATTAGGGTTTTCATGGGAAACCTCCCTTTATTTGAATACTGGACCCAGTTTGTCCTGAGAGCTCCATTTGTGACCCCTGCCCGGGGTTTTCCCGCTTCCCCTCTGACCTCCCTGGCCGTGGCTGCCTCTTCTCTGTCCCAGCTGCTAAGTAAGTTTTTAAGCGCATTTCTCATCCATACATGATTTCCTCAAGCAAGCGCCTCCACTGTCACGGTTTTGCACTCGGCCTTCTATGCCGCAGACCCCCAAATCTGAGTCCTCGGTGCTAACAGCATCTTAGAATTTTAGACTCACTGTCCCCAGCCGCTTGCTGAGTGTTTCCACGGACTCTCTCCAACATCTCCAAGTCAGCACACCCTAGACTCACCTCGTGAGCTCCCCCGAGCTTTCTCCCCACTGACACCGTCCTCTTCAGAGCCGACCCTGTGACCATTCATTCACCCGGGGGAGTCCAGCACTACCCCCAGGACCCAGTGAAGACGCCTCCAACCTCAGTCCCCACCACGCACAGTTATCCCGCAAGCCCCACTTCACTGACCCCAGTCTGGTCTCCACACCACGTGGCCACAGCCGGTCCATCTAAAACTGCCCGAGCATCTGTCTCCTACCGTGCATTTCCAGAGGCTCTCAGACAGCCAAGCTCACCGCAGTGCCGCACAACGAGGTGTGAGCAGTGCCACGAGGCAAGATTTAGACAGGAACCTCAACTCCAGAAATAGACGTCGGTTCCAAGGGTGGAGCAGGGAGAGGCAGTGAACAGTCTAAAGCGGTGTTCAGGGCTGACGCATCCTGGAGCGAGACTCAAATTTTCCATTTTCAGAAAGGGTGCCTCAGGCCACAGGCTATGTCCCACTTTCTTTTCTAAGATCCCCAGCTGAAGGAAACGTATTGAACCAAAGCCTTTTACATCTTCATCAAATTAGATCGCACAACCCCCCATGTGGACGTGGATGTCACATGGTTCAATTAACCAGCCTTTACCCTCTGCCACCGCAAGTGTGTATTCAATTCTCTACCTGTTTTTAAGCTAGACAGACTCTGCAGGCCTTCAAACAGATGAATTTGATGCCAGCAGTGTAACTTTTATTCCAGTGCTCTGCTGACCTTGAGGAATTTTCTAGCTTTTCCACTTTGGTTTATTTATTTTTTTTGTCACAGGATTCCCTCAAGAACCAAAGCCCTGTTGTCCATAATTTCTTATCACCCTATGGTAAGCTGCAGCAGAAACCACTGGGGACCTCACTGTGTTACGAGAAACTCCACATTGCATGACAATCTTGTTTTACAAGTTTCTTATCTCCTTTCCATGTGTTCAGCGGGCGGTCACCAGTGGCTTGCACTGTCACCACAATCTGTTGAGGGGAATAAAAAGGTTTTGTTCTGCAGGCCCTTATCTGCACTTCTGTTTGTATTCTCCAAGCCACTGGTGATTTGTGACATCACTGGATTCTGGTGGTGTAACCGCAGCCGCTCACAAAGATAATCTTGTAATTGTTCTTTATTTGTTGAATTTAATTCTCTAAGAGGTTTCTCTCCTCCGGTGTTGCTCTGCAATTCTGATGGCATCAAATACTCTGAATTTTGTGCAGAGATGGTCTATTTTCAGTTAATAGCTATGAATATAGAAAACAGTATGATAAATTCATAACTGGTCTTGAGAATATCTTAAATGATTTTTCAGGGAAATAAACTATGGATTGAGCTTAAATGGTCAAATACAAAAAAGAAAATTAGATAAAAGGGAATCGTTTTTTAAAAGTTCGTTTAGTCTTGTTGTAAGTGACTTTGTGAAGGGAGTCTTAAAATATAAACAATAAACAAGCAGGCATTAAGTGGAAGTCTAGTAGGAAGAAAGTTTACTCGCCAACAGTAAGCGTTTTTCGTTTAAAAGAATGGATTCTGAGTGACAATAAAGGAGAAACAAAATACAAACTTCTCAATAGATAAAATGCCTCAAAACATGAACAGACAGTTGAAAAAGGAGGAAAGGGAATGCCAGAAAAATACGTAAAAATAATCCACTTAACAGTAAGTTGATCCAGTACACACACAGACCCACAAATGTAACCCATTAAATGAAGTTATTAAAATAATACACGTTGCTGACGAAGGTGCAGGGAGATAGTCATTCTCAGTCATGGGTCGTGTGATGGTAGGAATCCGAATCTGTGAGGGCGTCAGCTAGACAGCAGGGTGGGCCGTCCAGACACTTCAAAAACAGCTCTGTCCCCCACCCCCACCACCACCAAGCAGCTGTAGTTCTGAGGAGCTATTCTATGGAAATATTCTAGAGTTACAAAAAATCTTTGACTTAGAAATATTCAGCCCAGTGTTCTTTATAACGTCTAGTAAGGAAGAATGATTAAATCAACCACAGGCCATCCCTGAACCAGAATCTCAGGCAGCGTGAAGTTACAGGGACTTAAAATAATTAGGAAGAGGATTATGCATAGTCTGAAATCAAAAGAGCAGGATGTAAATTTGCACATGTCTCGACTCAACTATGAAAAAATCTGTATGGAACGAGGCTGTAACAAGTAAACGTGGTGGTTTCTGGGTGACAGAATTGGGGATCATTTCTATTGTAATCATTATACTTGTCTAAGTTCTCCAAGTATTCAACAATGAGCATGATTTTTTTAAATACATTTTAAAATGTTGTATATTCCGGGAAAATGTCTAGTATCAAGGTCTTGTTTGTTTCCAGTAATCATGTGTGGTTAGTTTATTTTTTTTTAAAGGTACTCCACATTACTACTAGTATTAATATCTGGAGACCCTCTGAAGATGGTTTTACTTACTCTGCATTTGGGGATTATCACCTACTCACCAGCTCACAAATGCGCTGTGAGAAGTAAAATGACTCATGCCTCAGGGTTTCCTTGCATCTGAGTCTCTGATCAATGCTTGCTTGGCTGGCCCTGCACTGTTTTAAGTTTTAACCTGTCCCCTCACGTGCCATTCACTCATGAGGGAGTGGTCAGCATTGTCCTTTTGTGGCAAGGAGATTAACTGGAGAAATTTTGTGACAGATCAAATTAAGTTACCCAGCAGGTGGGAGAGCGAAGTTTGAGATTTTAATCTTTAAAATGGAATGACAGTCACACAGATGGAATAAAGGTCACACACAAGCATTTATTTAACCACGTTTTGGCAGTTTCTTTCAACGTGAACAATACCTGGTCCCTTTTACGTAGTTTACCCCTCCAAGGGGAGATGGGACTAGATTAGAATTTTCCCTTTTTCGAAGGGGGGGGTGGTCTTGGGCCACAGGTCATGTCCCATTTTCCTTTTTAAAATTCCTGGCTAAAGGAACTGTATTAAGACAAAGCTCTTTTTCAGCTTCAAAAAAAGCAGTTCTATTTGGTCCCACATAACTGCAAATTTCAAGATGGATGTCATGTTATTTAATTAACCGTGATCTGCCATTTGCTGCCTGCAATGTTAGGACACTTTGGGAAAAGAAAGCCATCACCTATCGAATAGATTCTGTCCTATTTATCTCTGTCCTCCCAATTCCAGCACACAAGGCTCCTCTCCTGGGAACAGAGCTGGAGATGAATAGTTAATGAAGAAGTCTGAGCTTCACAATGGGTCAGCCTCCACAGAATTTGGGAATGTGCAAATGTTTTCATTTATCTCTTTTAAAACTTTAGCTAGAACATGCCTGTGTTCTCCAGGAGTGGGTTTCATGCTGTGCTCTGGGTCCCTTGCCGATGGGCTGCCTTGTAGAACTGGTGTGTCAGCCAGAGAGGGTACAAATGTCACGTGCATGATCCCAGAGAGGGACCAGAATGATGGCAAACTGAGGAAGATGTCGATATTCTAGGACAGACTGTAACTGCCCCCGCAAGTCACATGGGGACCAACATGTCCAGAGGGGGAGGGTTCTGGGGACACTTACACCAACTGTACACTAGGGGTCACGGTGCCCACAGAGAGTGAAGGCAGGAGCCTTAGGTGACCACGTGACATACAGTGGGCACGTCTGAGTTTTAGAGCTAAGATTCTATTTGATGTTCTCTGGTACCTCATTGCATTCTTTCTCATGCTCTTTTCATTCGAAGATTCAGTCCCAAGACAGGATTATGATACTTCACCAGCTGTTGTGTCAGGTAGGAAAATTCTAATTCCTTTAAGACTTGATTGGAGGGGAGACATGGAGTGTGCCTGGATTTTCTCCAAAACTCTTTAAAGCAGTGACTCTCAAACAGTGATTCCAAGCAGGAATTTGAATTTCGGTTGGTGGGGCCGGGGAGTGGAGGGGGTTAGCCTATGTGGCCCCCAAAAGTATATGTAATATGCCAATCCAGTTTTATGTATGGAAAACAAATGTGTTGCTCTGGAAATAACAAATCAAGGCTTAAAGCCATTGGGTCTGTGAAGGATACACAGAAAATTGAGTCTATGTTCTGTGTATCGGTGATTCTCAGTGCTGGACACGATCACTGGAGTTTCTGGGACGTAGGAGGAGGACTAGTGATGTCTGTCAGAAGAGGGCACAGATTCATAAAAATAGTTTGAGAAGCACTGCTTTAGAGACCGGAAGTCTTGTGAAATCAGAAAATCATCCCATTTTGCTTGCTCTGCACTCCGCGTAGTGTCAGACACATAGTAGGTGCTCAGTGTAATTGTTGAATGAATCAAAACTTCAAATCTGTTCCAGAAATGGGATTGGGGATGTTGGAACAAAAGCTGCCAATGTTCCATTTGTACAACAAAGTGGCCGAAGTTCACATGAGAATACACTCGTGTCTTGAGCATTTGCATTAGCAAACCTTTCCATTGTTTTCCTAAAATTAAGCGGTGCGGTTTGTAATCAAGCATCTGTATGTGAAGACCTGGATTTTGATTTTGAACTGCACACAGCTTGCAGTTGCATCTTAATTTGGAACTCTGGTTTCTTGCAAAGAGGAAAATGGGCACAATTTTTCCTTTTTGTTGTTGTATTTTTCTTTTTAACTAAGGAAAACACTGGCAAGCATGAAGAGCTTTGAACTCTAATCCTTTGATGTGTCAGATGATGAGGACATAAAATCTAAACCAAGAAAGGGCACATGGAGACAGAGCAAGAGACGAAGGCCAGAAATAGAATGGGAGAGCCCAGGGGGCAACAGAGTCTGGCAACCGAGCGGTGGTTTTCAAGCAGAGAACACCGCGTTCTTGGCCACCCAGGTTGCGTGACCCAACATCTGAAGGGTAATCCTTTTCTCGTGTCTCGGGGACTTGTTTAATTATGCTCATGGCTAAATACTCATCTTAGACGTTCAGCTGAAAAGCAGTGAGCTGGCTTTCAGCTGTGAAGTTACTTTGGTCCTCCTGGAGATGGCTGTCAGTTGTCATTCATTCAAATACAATTTATCTTTCCCCAAAGTGTATTACCTGTCATATCTTAACAGGCCTGCTTTCTTAACGATCTGGGACCCCTGGGAAGATACTTTATTGAACGTATAATAGCCTGTCCTTTGTTTACCATGTGGCGTCTATGTTTAACAAGGGGCACTACTCCTGGTAATTGACCGAATATCACTGATAAGGAAAGATACAAACTAGAATTTCCCTTCAGCTCGGTTTTCTGATTTCACTTTCAAGAACACAATGAGAAAAGCAATGTAAACACCAGACTAGACACGGATCATGGGTCAGGCTCTCCACAAACCAGCTGTGACAGAACATCTGGCTGCAAGTCTAGACTCAAGACTTCCCGCCTAACTCCACGGTCAGGCGCCACTGAAAGTCCCCGAGCAGAGAAGTGACTTGATCAAAGTAATGCTTTAAGAAACTTAACTTGGCAGTTTTACGTGTGCTTGAGCAGTAAGAAACAGGAATTCCATAGAACAGTTAGAAAGCTCAGATATGCTATCACTAGACCAAAATAAGTGCTAAGATCAGATCCCAGTGGAATACGAAGGGGGCTAAAATAGAAGTGATGGGAAAACATTGAGGACGATTTTACAGTTGTCTTCCCCTTAGAAGACTGGACTGGTGGTTTGACACCTATATATTTGCACAGGCTTCTCTGGCCTCTGTAGTGCACCTCTAAATGAAACCAGACTTGCCTTCCGCACGTGCTTTTTGTCTGGTGGGTGCAGTTTGGTTGACATTTGATTAACGGCATATCCTCTGCCAAACTCTTGACCAAGTCAGGAACATGAAACAGGCGTAAGGTGTTGCAACAGCCTACTCCTGTATCTACCAATATGCCAATTTTGGACAACTCAAGTAGTAATCAGTTCTTTGCCAGTGTAGCAGCCAACTGAACCGTCATGGTATGTTGGAGCTCACGATAGCCCCTGGGGGTGATCCACAGGCACAAAGCGCAACCTAATTTCATCTCGATTGAAGAACACGCTGGAGAGGGATGGAACTGGAAAAGGGGGACCAGAAGTCAAGAATCCAAGCACAACATCAAGCTGGCACACGCTCAGGGTGTGGAAGTAAGAACGGAGAGCTGACAAATCTGCGAGGCGTGAAGGAGGCAGAACACACAGGACTTGGTGACTGAGTGGGTGTGAGAACAGAAGGGCAAAGAAGAGTTAGAGGCAGCTCTTAAGTTCCAGCAACTCACTGGCCTGAGCTATCGTTTATGGGGATCTGAACCAGAGGAACGAGAACTAAACTTGAAAGGAAAGAGGCTGCGTGCTGTCCACGTGGAATCTGAGATGTCTGGGAGGCATATGAATGGAGACGTCTAGTCACTAAGGACTTGGTGGTGTGCATCTGGAGCTCTGCGGACAGCTCTGGGTAGAAATGGATGTGGGGGTCATCATCATGGAATTAAGCCTTGTCACCCAGACACAGTTCTTAAGAGTGAAGAGAAGTAGGCAGACCCTTGGATATAAAGAACAGGCAGAAAAAAGAACCTAAAAAGAAGATCGGAAAAGACAACTGTAGACAAAAAAGGAAAACCAGGAGTGCGAGGTTCCAAAGAAGGCAAAGCAAGAGAGGATTCCAAGAGAGACCTGTGTAGTGGATGAGTCCTGAAGAGAAGCCCTTGGACGTAGTCACACCGAGGCCACTAGCCAATCGGACAGGGCAGTCTTAAGGGGTAGAGCAAAGACAGTGACCATCCTGGGAGGAAGTGATGTAACACGTGCCAGGAACCTAACAAAACTGGCTTTGAAGAGGAGGAGAGAAGATAATAGCAAAACAAATAGAGAAGGAAACTGACTGATTCACTGATCTTTTTTTTCAAGATGGGAAATATTGGGTCATGATAAGAAGCAGCCAGGAAGGAGGTCTAATATTTGAAGATGTCCTTCATCAAGGGGAGGACTGAAAGAACGAGGTCACTGAGGAAGCCAGGCATCTGGGGATGCAGGAGGGCAGGAGGAAAGGATGATGCAGCGGCATGCAGGTCTGTAACTGGAGGACTAGGAAGTCAAAGGATTTACCGCATGAGGAACAGTGTGTGTCTTTATGTGACGTAGTGGGTGACCTCTTCTGAGAGTGAGGGGGAAATGGCATGCTAAGGGACTTCAGGAGAACAGAAGTTTGGGAAAGTGTAGAGTAAGAAAGCCTTTCTTTGTACTACCTCTTCTTGAGTGGGAATTACTTTATAAAACTATTCCATAATTTGGTGGAGATGGGGTGCGGTGTTTAAGCTACCCCAAAGAATAAAACCATTTTGCAAGCTCTAAACATTTGTTTTCTTGGATACCATGAGCTTATTACAAATGATTTCCACCTCTTAATTAGAAGTTAGGTCCATTAGTACCTCCAACGAGCAACAATTAGCCATTAAATTGTATTTACTGTAAAAGACTCGACACAAGGGTTATAAATGTTCCCACAAGCCAGGCATGAAAATCAGTTTCATTTCTTTGCTCAAATACTGTGCATCTACTTGGATTACCAAACTGCATTTGTTTAAGGGTACTAATTGTTTTTCCAATAAGTTCTAGAAGGGGACTTCATGCTACTTATTCATTCATTCAACTCATACTGTCTGGGCTCCTTTAGTGCTGCAAGGAAGCACGGCTAGATGGTAGAAAACAGAGCTGAATTCCTTGCCTTCCAAGAACACAGACTCTCAACAAAGGACGGGGTTATAAAGAGCTGTCACTAAACACTGCCTGTGACAGAGCTCATACGAGCAGTCTGTAGAGCGGGATCTGTACCTGATATTTGTACAAGCATTTGACACACTGTCAAGTATGTATGTTCCAGACACACTGGCAAGTACGTGTGTTCCTGCTGGTACTTGTATATTGTTCACTGCATGACAAAAAATGACGTCTTAAAGACTTCTGTGGGACCCCAGTTTTTACTGCTCTCTTCAAGTTAACTGATAACCAAAGGAGGCTTATGCAAATAGTCTGTTCCAATATATAAACATCACTGTTATCTAGCCAGTTTTTTTGGGGGGGGCGGTATGAGGTAGTGGGGGGGATCCAAATCCTATACCTTAGCTTCCAACCCAGCAAGTTTTTTCTTCTATAAAGGCCCAGAAGTAAATCTTCCAAGCTTTGCCAGCCATTCACTCTATGTCTTGCCTTGCGGGGTAAAGCAGACACAGATCACGTGTAAATAAATCAATGAGCTTGGCCATGTCTCAATAAATTATTTGTAAAACCAGGCAGCAGCCTGGACTGGCCCGTGGGCTACGGTTTGCCCAGCTCTGCTCTAGTCAAATTATTTTCCTAAGTCTCCCAAATGAAATACTCTTATTGACAGTCTTTATAAGAGCATGAAGTGCTTTTCCTTTAAAGCTAGCATTTGTGTGTGTTGTTTTTAATTTCAGGAAAGGCAGATGAAATGTCAGGAAGGCAGAGGTGGAGAAGCAGGCATGAGAACTGAGAGAGACACTTCTTGGTGTTTTGCTTTGTGCCACATGCCCGACTGCAGTACTGAAATATTAAAACACTCTAAGGGTATTGCTAGTTTTCACATTCTCATCACAGATGGGTTTTCTGGGATTTATTTGTATGTACCAGCGACAGGGGATTATCAGCCAGGAAAATCAAATATAGATTCAGCTTAATATCCTCCTGGCAGCCTTTAGAATTCTGTATTTTTAGCAATTTCGAGAGAAGGTGAAAGATTCATTACCCTAAAGGATCTGTCATCAAAATATTATGTTACGTCTTTGTCACCTCCCCCCGCCCCCCGCTGT